CTTAAACCCCGCGTCTCATCCCGCTTCTACTCGGCGAGTCGGTCCTTCGACTCGCCGAGTCCAAGGCCAAAAATGCAAAATATTTAATGAATTAATAAAAAGAATACGTACCAAGAACCAGGTGCTACATGTTATATGTGTCTGAGCTTTATGAACTGCATGTTAGTACTGATTAGTCAGTGATATGATGGTCTGATTAGGATATGATTGATTATGTTTACTCAATGCTCGAATGCTACTTGCTTTGTGCTTTTAGGAGTTCTAGTTATCTTTAACTAACTAGTAAACGAATATGTTAAGTTACATATTACGAGGACCAAATAATTTCATAAGGTTAGGTTTAGCTCTATTTCGCAACTCTTGTTTGAGTCCAACCGTTGTAGGGTAGGACCTCTCATTTGAAGAATTATCTAGTCTTAGTGATATATAATGGTATTTGCGAGCTAGTTAGAGGGAGATAACATGGACTTCTTATGCAGCTGATGGCGGAGAGTGGGTCGGTGATTACCCTGAGGCAAGCCTAGGATGAGATTAGCAGAGAGCAGTAGTAATGAAAGGGACTTGGTGGAGTCAAGGCAGTTCTTGAGAAAGTATGGATAGATGTGGAACACTATTGTTCATAAGCCGCACCTATATTTAATATATATATATATATATATATATATATATATATATATATATATATATATATATATATATATAATAATTAAAAGATTATTTAAAATCGAAAACAAAAAATAAAAATTAAGAAAAGGTTAAAGAGGGGTATTGTAATTTCAGTTATGAAGAAAAATGAAACCAACCAATCACAGAAGAAATAAAATCATCATAAGGACTCAACGCCTAGTGTGTCTGATAGTTTTACTAAGAGCAACTCCAACCATTCTACTAAAAATATCACTAAACTAGGCGAATGCCCGTGCGTTGCGCAAAAACTTATATAGTTGAAATCTTTACAAATATAACTTTTTTTAATATAACAATAACGTTGTTGTTAAATTTGATATAATAATTCGTATAATAAATTGAAATAATATATTGATTACTTTGAATTATATAATAATATATACATCTATTATAACTGCGTAATCTCAATCCTTTGAATGAATTATACCTGCGAGTTAGTCATGAATAAAATTAAATATAATATATGGTTTAATGTTATTTATAGTTGTTGTTATTGTTAATTAATTTTTTAAAATTCATTTGTTTAACGTTTTAATTTTTATCATTATAATTATTTAAAACATCAAACATTGTTTTTTGATTTTAAAAGTAACAATATAATCATTTATATTGAGTTATTTTTAACTATTGTTATTGTAAGTTATTTTAAATTACTTATTTGAAAACTTTTAACGATTATTAAAATATCTTTAGGAAATATTTTAGTTAAATTAAGATTATACTTTAGTTTTTGCATTTAGCACTACAATTTATCATTTTTAACTATTCACAAAATATTCATTGCGTTTTTTAAGTGAACTGAAATTTATATTTAAGTTGACACTGTAATGTTATATTTAAATTAACAATTTAAGTATTTTGTTCAAATGTTGTAGCTTTAAATTGATAATGATTTACATACAATAACATATTAAATCAAATAAATTAAGTATAATACGTTAAAAGTTAAAGACATAACTTTATAAGTAGAAATAAAAATATTATTTTAATATTAACATTTAGTTTATTTATGATTACACTTTAGGTTTGATATTTATTTAACCTTATTAACCAAATTATAATCATTATTAGAAAGACACTACAATTTATCACTTTTAACTATTTACAAAATATTCTTTGGGTTGTTTAAGTTAAACTAAAATTTATATTTAAGTTGACCATGTAATGTTATATTTAAATTAACAATTTAAATATTTTATACAAAATGTTCAAAAGTTGTAGCTTTAAAATGATAATGGTTTATATATCCAACAATATATTAAAACTAATAAATTAAGTATAATATGTTAAAAGTTAAAAAACATAACTTTATAAGTAGAACTAAAAATATTTTTTTAATATTGAAATTTTATTTATATATGATTACACTTTAGTTTGATATTTATTTAACCTTATAACAAACTTATAATCATTATTAGAAAAAAAATTGAAAACTAATGAGAGTTTCAAATTAATGTGGTGAAAGGAAAAATGCTTTCTTATATATATATATATATATATATATAGATATATATATATATATATATATATATATATATATATAATAATCATTATGTTCTTTTACGTTTATTATATTTAATATTTTCCATTTAACTATTGTAAAAAATATACATTGTTTTTTTTTAAACTTTTTTGATATTTTACTTTAGGTTTTAAATTTTACACTATATTTTTAAGTTTGTTTGATATATTAATTTAGGTTATGCATTTAACACTATATTGAAGTTATTGATAATTTAAGAACTCTTCTATTTATGATAATATTATTAACTAATAACATATTTAAGTTAGAAAATATATCATAGGAAAATATGAAAAGTTGGAAGTTTCAAATTGATGTGGTGAAAGGAAAAATACTTCCTTTATAATATAGTATGATATGATATGATATGATGATATGATGATATGATATGATATGATATGATATGATGATATGATATGATTGATATATTTTTAACACCAAAACTTTTTTTTACTCCTAAAAACACACATACACTAACCAAAATTTAACAATTCAAATAGTGATGATAGTGTTACACCAAATATAGAGGCCACTATTCAATCCCACCATTTTTGTGTTTAGTTTGGTGGTCCATTGAAACACATTTTCACACCAAAACATTATTTTTGTGTATCCATTGGAGTCAGTCTAAATTAAACTTTTTTTGACCAATCACAAAGAACATTGGCTGATTTTATCTGGTTTCTAATTTAGATAATATTTAAATTTGATTATCAACTTAAAGTGCAAAATTTTCATGTTAATACTAAAAAATGATTTCTATAATAAGTATATCTAATTTTTTTCGTAATTTAACAACGTTTAGTTGTAACTATTGTGTAATCAATTAAACCAAGCCTTGTTTTCATGTTTTATTTGTTGTTTTTAGTTTTAGAGGACAAAATCTCAAAAATTCATTCATTGAATTATATCTATTAATTTAGGAACAATCTTTATCTAGTATATAACATTTATTGAACTTTTTTAGAAAATTAAATGTATAAATATAAATTTCTAGAATATACAGATGTGATTTCACACAAAATTAAAAACAATAAAGGAACTCATAAAATAAATTTCTTGGTAATATTTGCAGAATTGATACTTTATAACCCAAATTTCATAGCAAATTGTTTATTTATATAATGTAAATAAATAGTTATCTTTTTTATAAAATGACTTATAACATAGTTACAAGAAGTTGATAGAAATGTGTTTCTTAATAAAAAATTAATGTTAAGTTTCACTGGAGACAAAATGTATATATTTAGAAATAAAATATTGTTAGTCGTTTTTATTTTTTATTTTTTATTATTTATTTATTATTATTATTATTATTATTAACCAATATAGGTTATATTTAGAGATAGTTTTAAAAAAAACTTTATAATCTTGTTAAAATGTTAGTATGAGCTATCTTTCTAAACAAAAAAAAAAAAAATCTAAGATATTTAAAAAAAAAAAATTTAAACTAGTTACAATAGGCCAAATATAGTTTAAAAGACTTACGAATTTTATTAACAATTGATAATAAAATGAATTCAAGACATTTCATATTTATTTAACATTAAAGCATCCACAATAGTTAACCATTTATAAATTTTAATTATTAATTTTTTTAATAATTGTAGGTAGTCTTTATAAATAGTCTTTGAATTTTTAACAAAAGGCCTACACTTAACGTAAGGTGTTTGCTTTTTCGTCGAATACGAAGATGTTGAGGTTCGATCTAAGGATGAGCAAAGGTACTCGACCGGTACGGAACTACTCAACAGGTTGGTACCAATTTATTTTTTTGGTCAATGTAAGAACCGAAGACCAAACCTTGTTGTTTTACGGGATCAATTCAGATATGGTACCGTGCTGGGTAATTCAGTTCCAATACCACATTGGACTGAATTTTGTACTTGATCCAAAACAACCCCTGTTGTTAGCAGAAAAAGCCCAAACGATTAGCGGAGTAGCATTATTTATTAGATGAAGTATTATTCATTAGAAGAAGAATACGTTCTCGGCCAACATAAACAAAACTCATCAGCCAACACAAAACTTCAATTCTTATAATATTTCTATTATTTTAATATAAACTAATAATATCTAACTTGAAAATGATTTTTGCAACATATCATGTTTTTTTATGCATTTGTCACCAGAAATCTTTTTTAGATATTATGAATTTCTTATTTTCTACATGTTATTTATACTTTTTTTTTTCATTTTTCTTAAATTAAAAATTATGTAATTAAATACATAGTTTACATATATAAGTTATCTAATTACATTAAACTCTAAAAATAATTGCTCTACAAACCTTTATTTCGTTCCTTTTTAATTTCGTGATAATATTCGTATGTTAGCTAATTTCATAGCTAAGCTCTATTAACAATTTCAAAATTATAAGTATAATGTTAAAAGAAAAAATTAAACGGGATCGTGATAAAAATTTCTATATTTCTGGTATTATAAAAAATAGGGATAATGTGACTGTAGCACATGGAACTTTCTTCAATTGGCTAATTTGGTCCTTAAAGTTTTTTTTTTTTTTTTGGTACATTAGGCCAGTAAACTCGTAAGTGACCTTTTAATTACACCATTTTATCAAGTTTTAGAAGGTTTCCAGGTTACAATGCTTATGTGGCACGCTGATGTGTCCAATAAGCTTACGTGGGAAGCTTATGTGTCGAAGAAGTCCAGTTGTCGATATATGTTTTTTAATTCAAACCCTCATTTGGACCTCCATTAAATATTTACTTACCCTTCTCTGAAAAGTCAAAGACTTCCCCCTCCCCGACTATTTCCGTCCTGAAGAAGAATGTCTTCGAGCTCATCGACGTCAAGGAATCAGCTACAAGTCACTCATGTTCAGTCGCAAGAAGGGGTAAAACTTTGTGATTGTGTCGTTCCAGCTAAAGAACGAACGTGTTGGAAGATAACAAACCCTGGGAGGCGATTCAGTATGGTAGGTCCCGATTCTCCTGATTTTGATAAGTTAGTATTTTATGGTTTGATGTGTTGTTTCTTTCTGTAAAGACGATACTGGTGTATTTGTATTTTGTTTCATCTGTTAAAAACCCTAATTTTATTTCCTTCTTGACGATCACTGTGAATAAAACCCATTTCGTTGGTACATTAAAGGTAGTTGATTTGTGATTGTGAATCAAACCCTAATTTTATTGGCTTTTTATAGACTAGGTTGAGGAAATGTAGCTTCTTTGAATGGAAAGATGAAGAACAGGCAGACGGGTACTACAAAACCTGTTGTATTCTCTGAAGCAGAAACTGGATGCCAAAGAGGAACTGTCTGAGATGAAAAATTTGAGGAGAAGGATTGCTGAAGTGGAGTTTCTGCTGTCACAGGAGCAGTATAAGGTGGTAAAGAGTGAGAAAGAAGTTCATGATGCAAGGAAGGCAATAGGCAGGTACAGGATGATAGTTGCCCTATTGTTTGCTTGCTTGGCCCTATGTGTTTTGAAGTTAGGGGTGATTGTATTTAGTTAGGTTGGTTAGTGTAAGCTTTTGTTTTTTAGGATCCCTTGTATTTTTTGTAAAGGCAGACTAGAAAGTCAGTAATGATGGGCATTTTATATGTATTGAAGCTGCTTTTAGTTATAAGTTGGGGTTATCAACCTTAATGTGTTGATGTTGTAAGGTGGTAAGTCCCTAAAGAAAGGGCATATGATAAGTAATGTAAAAAAATATTCAAAGTCCTAATTAAAGGGCATTTTATATAATCAGATGTTGATGTTAATCAAACATATGCATGGTCTGTATTCCCAACAAATATATTTAATTAGATTAGTTGTTGTGCATGTTTTAAATTTGGGAACAAATGAGGAAGTGGTCCATGTGGAAGTACACTATGTGTATGGGGACCATTTGTAGTGATGGGTTTTGAGCATTCTAACACTCCTATGGTGTACATGCAACCCTATAAACCTTGAATCTATGTTTTCTCTAATATACATGCAAATTTGTTTTTCAAGGTTTACTTCCTAACTAGCATGGCATGGGGAGTATGTAATATAAAAACTAGTAGAAGTACATACCTTTCTTGTTGCTTGGATTCCTTGATGACTTTGTGAGCCTAGCACCCCAAATGTTGTGCCTCAAATGCTTCACACAACACCACAAGACTTGGAATAACTTGAGAGTAAACACTTGCACTAAAAAATCGGTTATGCCCTCTTAGAACTCACTAGTGGCCGATTTTGCTAGCTATAGGGTTCCTTTTATAGTGTTGTCACAATTAGGGTTTACACATGAATGCCCTTAATTGTCATGACTCTTCATTTCTAATGATCCATGGGTTTGTAACTCCCATATCCATGGAGCTCCAAATTACCATAAACCATGGATCATGAATCCACCATAAAAGATTAGATGATTGTCATAATCAACCCTATGTATTTAATTAGTCTCATTTTGATCACCAAATTAATTCTAAATTAATACTTGATCAACACTAATTAAATAATACTATTATTAATATATTAGAACTTATAATATATTAATAATCACAAGTGTCCTTTCTCCCATTTAGTCTATCCAAGTATTGCAATGCCATGCAACCCAAATGGACCATGCCGGGTCGGGTCAAGTACATACCAAATAAAGTTATGGACTTAGACACTATATTCAACAGTCTCCCACTTGGATAAGTCTAATAACTATATTTGCAGATATGACTTCAGGATCCGACTAGCAATCGTAGCTCTTTCAAAGTCTCTCGGAACTGAGATAATAATGATACGCCATTTAAGATAAGTGATCATATAATCCTCTGTTCTCAAGATATCAGCCGGACAAAGACATGGAACATGGTCTTACTTATTGTCCAACATTTGTTTCTCGATCTCTGATTTGTTTCGACATAGAACTAAATTGAACACATCAATTAGGTTCTGACCGGGTCCGGTACATAAGTCAAAACCAAATCATCGAGGGGCCTAGATATTGCTTCTATTTCTAGAAGGAACAGATAAACTTCGACACATATGCTTGTACTGACTACTTGTTGAATTATGCACAAAAACATGTTTCATAACTTCGAGTTACCAATGCGTTTTCGTACAATCAATGGATAACCAACTCATAGTCAACAACTCATATCTCTAGGTTTAAAGATTTATACGATATTACCGTCTCATGATCACTCGAGATAAATTCCATGAAGTGATGCAAGTGAGCGTGGGTTGAATCCAATACCCAGAACTTATGAGCACTCATGAATGTTGTAGTAACTATTGCTATGTCTAATACCCTTTAGACATATCATACAAACCAAATTCATGACAGTCTTGATTCATATCTACTTCCGACATATGACCGACTGTGGAGAGTTTGAATAAAATAATTATTCTGGAAGTCAAAACATGCAAAATTGAAACCATAGTAAACGACTAACATAAGATAGTAACACTTTACTCATAAATAAATAACAACTTTTATTTAATCATCAAAATGTCAATTACATTTTACAAGTTTCAGAAATCTAATTATTGAAACTAATATCATCCTTCAGCCCGATGCGCCTTGCATGCTGTAAATGCTTAACCCTACTCAGTCCCTTCGTGAGGGGATCTGCTGGGTTCTCATCTGATGATACCCTCTTTGACACGAGGAGTCCTTCTATTCGATGTTTGATGAAATGGTATTTTCTGTCAATGTGCCTAGATTTCCCGTGATCTCTTGGTTCTTTAGCCAAAGCAACCGCACTTTCGCTGTCACAGAAAATTTCCATTGGCTCCTTTATAGCTGGAACAACTCCAAGGTCTCCGATGAAGTTCTTTAGCCATATCGCCTCCTTTGCTGCTTCACTCGCTGCTATGTACTCTGATTCACAAGTAGAATCAGCTACTGTCTCCTGCTTGGAACTTTTCCAAGTAATTGCCCCTCCATTTAGGATAAAGACCCAGCCTGACTGAGAGCGGAAATTATCCCTATCAGTCTGAAAGCTAGCATCGCTATATCCTTCCACTCTCAAGTCATCACTACCTCCGAGGGTAAGGACCCAGTCCTTAGTCCTCCGTAGATACTTAAGAATGTTCTTTACCGCAGTCCAGTGAGCCTTGCCAGGGTTCCCTTGATATCTACTGACCATGCTCAAAGCAAAGGCCACATCAGGGCGAGTACAAGTCATAGCATACATGATAGAGCCCACAACGGAAGCATATGGTATATGACTCATCTCAGCTATCTCAGCCTCTGTACTCGGACTCTGAGTCTTACTCAGCTTGGCATTACTCTGGATGGGTAATTCCCTTTTCTTGGATTCTTGCATGCTGAACCTCTTCAGCACCTTATCCAAGTAAGTACTTTGACTAAGTCCAATTAGTCTCTTACTCCTATCTCTTAATATCCTTATCCCTAGGATATAGGCAGCTTCTCCAAGGTCTTTCATAGCGAAACACTTCCCAAGCCAGGACTTCACTTCCTGCAAGGTTGGGACGTCGTTTCCTATGAGTAGTATGTCATCCACATACAACACCAGAAAAATTGACTATACTCCCACTAGCCCTAACATACACACAGGACTCATCTTTGCTCCTTGAGAAACCAAACTCTTTGACTTTCTCATCGAAGCAAAGATTCTGTCACACCCCAAAACCGAGAACGGCGGAATACGTTCTGGGGTGGAGGACGTCATGTACAGTATCATAACAAAGCATAATAGTAAAGACAAGCAACAACATCCATTGCATTAAGATAATAATTGTAATACAAACGTGTTCAGTGCAAATGTTAGACACCAAAATACAATCAAAATAAAGTGGAGTCTTATGTGTGCTCCGTCTTCTCAAAAGCTGCATCCGTACCTGTCTACTGATGACCTGAGAATACAAGTTATTTTGAAAACGTTTATCAGCATAAAGCTGGTGAGTTCATAAGTATTTAGTGTCATTTCCTGTATAAAATATTCACAATTATACATTGTAAAAGAGAGTTTCGATGTTTGAAAAATAGTATAAGTCCTAGAAAACCCTATGTTTTCCAGTAAAGGTAGTCTTCACCAAGACCCGATGATTTGTTTGTTCCTTTGAAAATGTACAAGTTTCCCAGTGGCTATTAGTATGAAAATATAGTTTTTGACTTTATTCATTTATAGTAATGAGAAAAATAATGTTTTACCCCAACAGTATCACTGTCGGCTACATGTAATGAAATGCAGGCTCCAGGTAGTATTAAATGTACAATACATCTCAGGGAGTCTGTTTGCCTTTAATTCTTAAGGTATTGATTAAAGGTTTGAATGTGAACTCGTACGTAACCATGCTGATTGACGATCGAATCCTGTTGACCCTCCGAGTCATATGTAGTAATGTGACATTTTGTCACCCCTGGGCCTAGACGGCTCGGACTGTAGCTAGCAGTCGGGATGTGGAAGTGTCTGTCCCGTATAGATCTATACACATAATGCCCGCTCTCCCTCCAGGAGACTCTGGTTACGCGATGATAGCACAAAGACGTGTCGTATCGAGAAATAGTATGTCACATTCCATTTTAGTAAGTTCTCTTGTGTAGTAGGTAGTATTCTCTTTGTATAGCATATAGTGTTCTCTTTGTATAGTATATAGTGTTCTCTTTGTATAGTGTATAGTGTTCTCTTTGTATAGTATATAGTGTTCTCTTTGTAGAGTACATAGCATATATTGACTCACAACTGATCTGACTCTGGTAGTTGTCATGGCAATAGTAGTACTGAGTAGTAATCCTTAACTATACCTATTATAGTTAAATAGTAATGTTGGTTGCATGCCTTTGATATCCAAAGGCATTGAACTGATATGAAAACTTTTATATCTGCCACAAATATATAAGATATATAACTAAGAATTCAACGAGAGTCGGACTAATAACAAAATACCCTAAGCCCACAATCAAACAAGAACAGGAAATAAGGTGAGCTATTAGTCCTAAGTCCTTCAAGTCTTACTTATATAAATATATTAGTATAGATATGGTTTGGAAATAAAAACAGTTTAAAGGAGTTTGAAAATAGTTTTTATACAAATTATCATGAAAATGAGTTTACTGAAAGATCATAGTAGTTTTGTTGGTAAAAACAGTTAACAGTGTAGAAAATCCTTTTGGTTGCAAGTTATAATTCACATGCGATTGATACTATAACTTGTTTGGTTCAACTTGTATCCCCCCCCCCCATAAAATAGTTAAAAACATTTAAAAGGTTAATTTAGGGGTATGAACTCACCTGTAGTGAGTGAAGTGGATGGAAACGCCGGGTAGGATGCTAGGTGTCAAGTGAGGACTTGAACACACACACGGATCCTATGTAACATGTAGTGATGTATAAAGTATCTAATTAGTTGTGTAATCAATAATTAAGTGAGTAAAGGCACTTTAATGTATGAAAACACTTTGTTTCAAGTGTTAGGAGTGCTAAAGGTTGCATCTAAGGAGTGTATGGTCTCACTATGGAGTTTACACTTCAATTGGTCACACTAAGTGTGTTTACAGTTGGGAGACCATATCCCCCATGA